GTGGGGAGAAAGACTGAATCAAACCATCACACAAGCACATGTCGAGTCGCCTCCAGAGTGCTCTGAAGGTGAGGGAGGGATGCGGAGCTGTGCGAGCCTCTAACCCGGAGATTGATCTAGGCGGGGAATCACAAAGGCCTCAGCAGAGGGGACACTAGAGCCTTGATCTGAAGGACGTGGGGGAGTGAAATAGGCCAGATCCGGAGGGAAGAGCGTTGCACGGGGGGAACAGCATGCTCTGAGGCCTGTGGGTGAGCAACATGACCAGTACGGGCCTGAGGCAGGCCAGCGCGACTCGGGTGGAGAGTGAGGGAGCAGGATAAGGAACAAGAATGGAGGGGTTGGCAGGGGCTGAGGACGCCTTATAGGCACACTCTCAGCATTTATCCTGAGAGCAGCGAGGAGCCCTTGAAGGGTTTAAGGCAGGGGATGTCACATGATCCGATTGGTTTTTAAAAGATCCCTTTGGCTGCCTGCTGAGAAGAGAGTGGCGGGGAGGTCAGAGTAGAGGGGGCACAGTACATCCCCGGGCCCTGTGCCTGGCTTCACAGTTTAGAGGCCCTGCTCTGGCCCTCCTTGGCCTGTGCCTGTCCCAGTGGGGAGAAGAGTCTGTGGGCCAAGGGCACTTGTCCCCCGGGGCCTCTACCCACAACCCTCCCCAACAAGAGCCTGATCCCAAGGCTGTGTCCTCAGGCCAGTCTCCCTAAAGGAGGACCTACTGCCAGTGTGTGCACCCCTGCGCCTGACGGTGGCAAAGAAGTGGCCATTTGCAAGGGCGTGGCTGCAGTGTCCACACCCTGCCCCTACGGCAGGATGGAGCAGGGATGGCAAGAAAAGGAGGAGGGCAGGAACTGCCAGCTTCCATTCTGACTCTCGGCCAGGGCGGGCCTGGATGGGAACCGCCCCCCCCGCCCCCAGCCCCCCCCCCCACCGCAGCCATTCAGGAGAGCAGTGGGCAGACTCAAGAGGTGCTGAGGACACGCGCTGTCTGGGAGTTAGGGAAAGACAGGACAGGGAGACGGGCTGAGGGTGGGCTTCTGCCTGCATACTAGGGGTGCTGAGGGACCCCATGGAGAGGACCTGGCTTGGGTGGAGGGTAGATTCTGTGGGTTTGCACATGTTGAGGCTGAGGATCTCTTGGGACATTTAAAAGATGTCAGATAGGCAATTCTATCTCTTTCTTTCTCTCTCAATCTTTCTTTACACACACACACACACACATGCGTGCACACACACACACAGATATTTGAAACTAAAATTCATTCCACTTGTGGGAGGCTCTGAACCCAAGACGCTTTGTCCCCACCTGAAGCCTTGTCCTGTTATTCTACCCTTAGTCATTGACACTCTAGTATGAATTAGAGGCTCAGTACCCTTCCAGTTTGGTTCCTGACTGAAAGCAGTTTCTGTCTGGGGTAATCTAGGAACATGGTGCCCTGCACGGCCTGTGGCACGGGGTGGCCCTTATGAAGGGCCGAGGACCAGCCTGGTTCATCTTGCTCTCCCCTCCTCCGTGGGCAGAGTCTGGCTGTGGCTCTGGCTCCCAGGCCTGATGGTCAAACCCCACGGAAGCTCCCTGGAATGCCCTCCAGGCTTCTGGCCCTGGCCCCCATTCCTGCTTCTCAGCCCAGGGGCGCATGGGCTCTGCATCTGCTGGTGGCTCACTCCTCGCTCACTTGGTTGAGCAGTAGGTTCTGTTTCCAAAGCTGTTCTAGGCTGTGAAGGGATCGGCCTACCGCAGCCTATGCCACATGTGGCTCTGAGCTGGGTCCTGTGGCTGCTTTTGCTACCCCCAGCCCAGGAGGGAGGCAGCAGCACCCCGACGCTTCTCTGTGCCTGGCCCGACTTGTACATCTGGGCCCTCAGGCAAGGCCATCAGGCAGGGCTGGCCCCAGCTGGCCCCGTGGCTCAGCAGTCAGTGCTGGCTCCCTCTCCCCACTGCCTGATCAAACAACCACATGTGGGCAGCGGCTGCGCCTCTCCGGCCTCCCAGGGCCAGGAGCTGGCGGGGTAGATGAAACCCAGCAGGCCACAATGATCCTGGAGGCCAAGTGTGGGCTGCCGGCCTAGGGGAGCGGGACTGCCGGCTTACCTCGGCTTCCTCCCTCTCTCCCCAGAGGGGTTGGGACCTGGAGGGAACCACAGAGAGGGGAGAAAGGAGGAGCCCATCTTCCCCCTCACTAGGTCTGAGGGACAGAGCTGCATCCTGGGTGGGCTCTGAGGTCTTCCTGGTCAGAGATCCCCGGGCTTTCCAGGTAGGAGGGGACCTTCAGAATCGGGACATGCAAGGCTCAGAGAGGTTGTGACTGGCCCAAGGTCACCCAGCAGCCGAGGTGGTCTCAAACTCAGATTGTTTAACCCCTGATCTCTGTCCAGTACTCTCTTGCTAACTCCTCTTCAAGCCCTGAATTTATTCACTTTGTCAACAAATATTGACTGCGTGCTCCCCGTGTGCTCCTGCTCGTGCTGGGCACTGTTTCACAGAGGAGGCCCCTGTCCCCAAGGGGCGTACATCTGCAGAGACAGACCACAAACAATGAACAGAAAAACAGACAAGGGGAGCTTCAGCACAGTGTCTGGTGCCAGCAGCTGCTCAATAAATACATGTCGAATGGACGGCTATAAATGTTCTGAAGAAAACAGAGCAAGACAGCGTGACGGAGTGTGGGAGCATGTTACAGAGTGAACGTTTATGTCCCCCAAAATTCACGTGTTGAAATCTGACCCCATTGTGAAGGTATTAGGAGGTGGGGAATTTAGGGGTGATTAGGTCTTGAGGGTGGAGCCCTCATGAATGGGTTAGTGCCCTTATAAAGAGACCCCAGACGGCTCTCTAGTCTTCTCTCCCCAGGTGAAGCTGCAACGAGAAGCTAGCAGTCTGCAACCCAGAAGAGGGTCCTCACCAAGAACCTGACCACGCTGGCACCAAGATCTCAGACTTCCAGCCCCCAGAACCATGAGAAAGAAATCTCTGTTGTTTATAAGTCACTCAGTCTATGGTGATCTGTTATAGCAGCCCAAACTAATGCAGAGGGCTACCTTCATGTGGTAGAGGAAGTATTCTCAGCAGAGGTGACACTTGAGCAAAAACAGGATGGAATCGTCACATGAATATCTGGGGCAAAAGGGTTCCACAAAAGGGCACAGAAGGTGCAAAGGCCCTGAGGTTGGAATGAGGTCGCTGAGGCTGGAGCAGAGTGAATGGGAGGCGGGGTGGGGAGAGGAGTTCAGGAGGTAGAGTTCAGGCAGGTCTTGGTAAGGAGATGGCAGGATGATTTCAGAGGGGCCCCATAGCGCCTCAGCTCCAGGCAGACCCCCAAATGGATGAGGCCCTTGGAGGAACCCAATGTGTCCACAGCCCAGGACAGCTTCTTTCCTGTCTTGTCCTTTAAAGCAGAGGAAGGCAGCCTCGTGTGTCAAGGGGCCTGGGCCTGGGAGTGTGGGGACCGGAGTTCTGGTCTGACTGGTTGTGTGACCTTGAGCCAGTCCCCTCTCCTCACTTGGCCTCAATCTTATCAGCTGTGAAACGAGAGAACTGGACCGTCGAGCTCTCAGTTCTGTGGATGGCACATGGAGGAGACGGGAGAGGAGGGAGACCAAAAAAGCTCAAAGTGACTACAGTCGTGCGCCACATAATGACGTTTCGGTCAACGATGGACCGCATATAAGACGGTGGTCCCATAAGATTAGTACCATACGGCCTAGGTGTGTGGTAGGCTGTACCATCTAGGTGTGTGTAGTACACTCTGTGATGTTCACACAATGACGAAATCACCTAATGACGCATTTCTCAGAATGTTTCTCCATCGGTGAGCGACACATGACCGTAAATGGGCGTCTGGCTGGGCTTGTAGCTGATTGCATCCAAAGCCACCCAGGAGGTTATCACGATGAGGAGGTTTGGGCCTGGCTGTGATGGGATCACTGTCCTCAGTCTTCACAGTTCCTTAGGGCTGGGAAAGGAAGCCCCTTGCAGTACAGGCTGATGGACAGCAGAGGGCACCAACTGAATGGCCAGGGATCCCCGGAAGGAGGAAGTAGTTGGTCTGGGGTTCGTACTTGATGGTTGGTGGCTACCAAAGATTTCACTGTCACACCACCAGTGACAACTGGTATGTATCCACGTGGATTCATTTAACAAAGATTCACTCTATGCTGAGCACCATTCTAAGTCTCAGGGAAAGAGAGAATGATGAGTCAAGAATGGGAATTAGATTTCATCTTGAATGTTGGTTTGCTTTCATTGGAGCACTATGCCTAGAGCACAGCATTAAGAAAAATTCTGAGGCTGCATGCTGATTAAGGGGGATAGAATGCTGTGATTGATTAGCAATGTCTGTCAGGGTGAGGTTTGGCAGAGGGTAGCATGAATGTCAGGTATTTGTTGTCTCTTCTCTAATGCAACCTTGTTAGTGGAACAATTGAGTAAATCGAGACTCAGAGATGCCAAGTTTATTTGTACAAGGTCATGCAGCTAGCAAGTGCAGAGTTAGAACAATGCACATTGTGCAGTTGGCTAGCCACATCTCTGGGCCATCACCAATGACCATCAGGGTGACCAGAATGCTTGATGGTGGGAGCGGGCATCTGATGTATTGCCAGCTGGAGCAGTGCTATGATATTGGGTGCTTAGAGAGCCAAGCTGGTGGCCCGTGGGGCACGATGGACCATTCCAGAACCCACAATGGGGGCCAAACAGCAGCCAAGCAGTGGCAGGGCCCAGGCTCGACCCAGGCCTCACAAAGGAGGTGCTTAAATGTGAAAGGTTAAAATAAGTCATATTTATTGCAGACAATTTGGAAGATATGATAAAACAAAAAATAAAATTACAAAACGCCTGTAATCAATCTCATTAGATAGAAATAATTACTATCAACATCTTAATCATGTATTTACTCATAAATATGTGCTGTATATATGTTTGAATTTTCTTTTCTTTTTTTTTTTTGCGGGGAAGGATTCACCCTGAGCTAACATCTGTTACCAATCTTCCTTTTTTTTTTTTTTTTTAATGTTTTCTTCTCCCCAAAACCCCAGTACATAGTGGTATATCCTAGTCGTAAGTCCTACTAGTTCTCTATGTGAGCCGCCGCCACAGCATGGCAACTGACAGATGGGTGGTGTGGTTCCATGAATGGGAAATGAACCCGGGCCATGGGGGCAAGAGTGTGGAACTTGAACCATTAGACCCTCAGGGCTGGCTCTGAATTTTCTTTTTTATTACTTAGTGCAGTGGTTCTCAAAGTGTGATGCTTGACCAGGAGCATCAGGGAACTTACCAGGAATGCAAATTCTTGCCCTCTCCCCGCCACTGAATCAGAGACTCTGGGGCTGGGGCCCAGCAATCTGTTTTAACACGCCCTCTAGCTGGCTCAAGTGTGAGAACCACCGACTTCATGTATTATGTACAACTTTCCACTGTCATTAAATATCCTTTGACAATCTCATGTTTAATGCTGGAAGATCTTTTACTGTATTGACTTGGTCAATTCTCTAAAGCAACGCTGTGGTGCCCATCTCGTGCGCACGTCTGCCCATGCCCACTAGGGCTTGTTTTGGGAAGTGGTGTCCTTTGAGCTGGGCCAGTGATAGGGGGCAGGGGGTCCCTGCGGGCCGGGACGGAGACCGGAGGCTGTCTCTGGTCTGGGGCCGCAGGCAGACAGGAGGGGCCAGAGCTCTCCCCCGCCGTCACACCCTCCCTGGAGTGGCCCTGGCAGAGCAGGAAGCCAGTGGTGAACGTGTCAACGTCAATTGGAAGAGACTTCGGTAAAAAGAGTCCAGATTTCCTGGGGCCTGTGGTCGGTGCTGCAAAGCAGAGGGAAGCCACACTCTGCCAGGTGTAGACCGAGGGAGAAAGGAGTAGCTAATAAAACAGCTTTGGTTTGTTTTGTTTTCTTGTTTTGTTTTTTTCTTTTTCCCTTTGTGTGTGGAGAAAAGTTGGATGTACTAGTCTGTCCTAGAATGTTTGACTCTGCATGCCCGAACTGCCACTGTTCATCCAGGCTTCGTCCTCTTTCCTGACACAGGCTCTCAGTTCCAAAGTTGGGTCTCTACAGGTCCTCCCTGGACCCCCACCTTCAGCAGCTCTCCCCACAACGCCCAGGCCCCAGCTCCTCAGAGATTCTCAAGGCCTTGCTGTCTGCTTTGTTTTTCTGGCTCGGCTCTCTGGTTAGGCAGGTACAGGTAGATGACGCTGGAAATGAAGGGGCAGCTCCCACCAACCCAAATTAGTTGGGATGCTTCGTGAAGGGACAAGTAGTGATCTATGAGCTGGCGCCAACACCCCAACCCCCAACAAGCTGGCGATGGAGGGGGAGGGGCCGGGCTCCTGAGAGCCAGCAGGTGTCAGTCTCACCTCAAGCCCCAGGGTGCGGCGGAGGGCTGGGCTTTTGGGCGGGAGCTGCAGAGAAGGCCAAGGCCCAGGCAGCCCCTGCCTGGGACTGGGAAGCGCTGGCTGGGGCTCTGCTCAGGTGGCAGCCCAGGCCAGCCCACCGATCCTGCCATTCTACCGCTCAGTAAACTGGCTGTGGCTTCCCAGGCCTATGAAAGTCCCAAAGTCCTAGCTTGGGATTGAGGACCCACCTTTCTATGACCTCAGATCTCTCCAGCTGTATCCCCTAGAACAGTGCCCAATAAATACTGGCAGAATGAATGAATGAATAAATGAATGAATGAATGCCACACTCTCTAGCCAGGCAGCTCACTCTTTACATTACTCTGAAATGCATGTTCGGTTTTTCTGCCATCCTCCTCTCCACTTACCCAGACTGCCAGTGCCTCTGGGCCTGGTCTACAGCGGATGCCCAATAAAGGTGTGAAAATGAAAATGTGAATGTACAGATGAGCGAAATGATGGAGTTGTGTTCCGGATGCCTAACGAAGTCGTCTCTGCCCCCTCTGGTCTTCTACGTATCTGTCTGCTGTGCCGATCGCTCTCGTGGCCCACGTGGCCTCGTTTCCACGTGCACCCTAGGCTCTGCGGGTGTGTGTTGGGGTGGGGAGGTTTCTTTGTACACCCTACAGAGCCTAGGGCTGTGTCTGGTTCAGACCAGGGTCAGGACAGGGAGCAGGAGACTGACCATCCTGTGAGGCCCGCTCCCGATGGGTCTGCCTCAGTCCGTAAGTCACAGATCCCTCCCCATTTACACTGGGAAGAGAAAGTCCTTTTTTGGGCTTTGCATATTTATCATCAAATTTTACTCACTCTGATTCCAGAAAGGATGATCAGAAAAGACATGTGCACACCAGAAACAGTAATTCAAAGCCAAAAGACCAAGAGCTGTGAATGCAACTGAGGAGATGATCGTACCAGAAAATCTGGCTGAACCCCAAATTTGTTTCTGAGCCTCCTGGCCATTTCACAGGTGAGCAAACTGAGACGCAGAGAGAGAGGAAGAGGCTTGCTCAAGTCACGGTAATAACAAACACCATGTGGCATGCACCGTCTCATTGAACCCTCATCAGAGCCCTGCCAGGCAACTACCACTATATCCTCACTTCAGTGATGGGGAAACCGAGGCACAAAGAGGTCAAGTAATTTGCCAAGACCACACACCTGAGTTTCCAACCCAGGGAGTCTGGCTATGGATTCTGGGTTCTTAGCCACTGCCCTATCCTGCAGCTCTCTAAATGAGAAGGAAGAAAGAAAGGAAAAACGCCAAGGACTCATCCGTCTCCGCATATTTTTGGAGTCTCTGATGGATTCAGTACATTAGCTGGGGCCAGTGATGGGCTCTCTCCAGGGTTCCAGCTAAGGCGCGGCTGCCTAGCAGTGGCTCAGTATATTTCTCCCATCAAGTGACTTCCACGTTGTGACCACAGCCTTCACTCAAAACAGTGCTGATGGCAGCATTGCAGGCGGTGAGTGGGGAGACCTTAGGCTCGTTCAGCCACCCCATGGAGGAGGTCTCCTCCTCAGCTGAGACTGCGGCCAGCTCTGCCTGCCGTGGTGGCTGTGGGCTTCCTGGCAGACACTGCAGTGTCCCAACCTCAAAAGAGGTTCAGAGAACTCTGTCCAGGGAAAAGCAAATCCGTTTCTTGAAGAGCTGTAGCAATGAGGAGCCCCCCTATCTGTCAAGAAGAAATATTGCTTTAAGACAAAAGAACATCCCCAGGAATCCTGGGGTATGATCTTACTGGATCCTTTAGTTTCTTCTGAAGGAGCCCAGCTGTGGCCTGACCTTGGCCTGGCCATCCCTCACCACCTTTGCGGATCCCCTGGTGGCAGCCACTGCTTAGTAGTCCTACGTTGGTCTGACTGGTCCCCCTGGCCTGCCTCCTTCACCAAGAGGCTTTTAGGATCACTCGATTTGGGGCTTGGATGGGACCTCATGGGTCCCCTGTGGGGCATGTAGCAGAGGACACAGGCCATCCTTCAAGGCAAAAGACCTCGATTCCAATCCAGCTCCTCTCTCTGTGGAACCTTGGATACATTTCTTCAAATTTGGGAAAATCTCAGTCATTATGCCTTAATATTTATTTTCTGCCCCACTTTCACTGATTTCTCCTCCTGGGACTCCAATTACACATATGTTAGACAGTCTGATATTTTTCCAGAGGTCCCCAAGGCTCTATTCACTTTTTCTCAATCTTTTTTTGTCTCTCTGTTCTTCGCATTGAGTAATTTCTCTTGATCCATCTTCAAGTTCACTGACCCTCTCTTCTCCCATCTCCAATCTGTTGTGAAGCCCATCTAGTGAATTTTGCATTTCAGTTATTGTACTTTTCAGTTCTAGAACTTTTATTTGGTTCTTTTAAAATTAGTTTCAGTCTTTCTGCTGACTTTGGGTTACGTTTTCCTGTTTCTTTGCATGTCAATAATTTTTGACTGTGTACTAAGGATGATTCTTTGTAGAGACTCTGCATTCTTTTATCTTCTTCTGAAAGTTGTTGATGTGTGTTCAATTAGATGGTTCAATAACCGGCCGATCACATTGAACGTGTGTGGGCTTGGTTTTATACTTTGTTAGGGTGGACCTAGGGAAGCCCAACGTTTTTCCCAGGCCCCTCTAACATACTGGGACTCAACCTTCAAATTCGTCCTTCCTGTGGCTCTTGTCCAGGCTAGTTTTAGGTTTTGGCAGAGAGGGTCAAGAACAGCCTCACTCAAGGGCAGCGTTTCTCAACCTTGGCACTATTGACATTTGCGGCTGGCAATTCTGTGTTGTGGGGGCCATCCTGTGCACGGTGGCCTCTACCCACTACATGCCAACCGTAATCCCAGTCTTGACCATCAAAAATGTCCCCTGGGGGGCAAAATCACTCCTGGTTAGGAACCATTGCTCTAGGGGGTGGTCTTACTTTGAGACATTTGGAAAGAGCCTCCAATGCAGACTTTTGACCTTCTCCTCAAGTGAGGTTCCACACCCAGCACACAGGGCCCCCGACCAGACTGAGAGAAGCACCCGTGTCCCATTTCTGCACCTCGCTGCTGGAGTATGCTACAAATTCATGTGCATTGAATAAATCCTGGAGCAATCTGGGGAATATCACAAACTGTAGTATAATTTTTAGGGTGTTAAATTCACTATCAGTAAATATTTTAAATAGATCTTGATATTTGAATTCCGTGTTGGCATTTTCCCCACTTTTAATATGAGTGGCTTTCCGAGATGGAAACGGCTGGGGCCTCTCTTGTTGTCTGTGAGGCTCAGAGCATATTCTCTCCTTGGTCTGTTTTCTGGCATGTTCTACCCATGGTTTCTTGCTGCCTTTCCGAGGAGATGTCTCTATGCCTCCCTTTCTCCTTATGGTCTCTAGCATCTATCCCACGGGAAGAGCCCGCGGCCCAGGGTCGGGTGAGGCTCCCAGTGAGGGATGGGGGTGGGCTTGTGGGGGCTGGTGCAGTCGGAAGCTGCAGAGAGAACTTTCTTCAGGCTGCTCTGGGCTGAGATGTCAGCAGAAACCTTAGAGGAAGAAGGAAGTAGTTTGGCTGCTGTCTACACCCTGTTGGGGCTTAACCCAAACCACACTGGTTTTTTCTACATGGTTTCTTGGCAACTTAGAGACCAAATAAGGTTAAAAAGAAATGGTAGCCCGATATAGGTGAGGACACCGCAGGACAATACCAGGGTGCTT